TGTTCAGATAAAGACTGAAAGGATTTACCACTCAAAATCACTGAGAGAACTAGTCAGAGATGATCATCAAGAGTAAAGAATTGAACCCAAAAGGAAAGGAATACAAGAAGTTATAGTGTATAAAGAGAATGATATATGTGAGTGTAGCTCTACATAAACTTTGGCTGTAAAGAATAACAGTTTCAAACTATATCATTAGAATTTAAAAGATCTAAATTCCTGGAATTGCTCAGGAAGATAATAGATCTGTTGATTAACATTCATATTTAAGTCAATTATTTGTGTTGAAAAGATAGACTATACAACTTCCAGAATTTTGGAGAGAGAAATATGGGAACTAAGAAAAGCTAATTAATTTAAAGCTTAATTAAACCTAATTAATTTAAAGCTTGTGAATGAAAAAGGAAAACAAACAAGAAACAAAGAAAAATTATAATTGACAATCACAAAATAAGATAGAGTAACTTCGCTTCCTAATACCAAATTACATTTGAAAGGTCTTCTCAAGGGTATTTTAGAATCATCCAATGTTCCGAGCTTTGACTTAACATCTGGGCTCAAATCCAGAATCTGTAGGTCATTGGGAATTTGATGATCTTAATACAGGTTTGTGCACTTTATTTGTATTTGCCAGTGACATCCTTGTCAAACCTCCCAGATTGGAGTATTGCTCTTGTTGGTTAGATTTGCCTTTGAAACTTTCATACAATTTACCTATTTAAATTCCCATAAGACTTGCCTATTTGGCTTAATTGAATGGTAAGTGGGCATGCCTACTAAAAGAAATTGTTTTCTTTGGGTAGGTAAGTCACTTAGAAAACATGATTTTTTTTTTTTGATAGAACCAAATTTGGTTGATATTCATGGCAGTGAAGAATAAGAGCAGTGGCATGGTATACTAATATTAGTGACAGTGGTAGTGATAGTGGCAACAGCTAATATTTTTGTGCCATATGATACCTGAAGTAACTTATGGAGTTACTGTCATTATTATCTTTATTTTACAGATGTGGAAGCCAAAGGACAGAGAAGTTAACATTAAGGCAGTGTCATATAGCTGTATAATATACTACTTAAACTGCACTCTTAATCACAACATGTATTCGTCAAATATTTTTTGTCACTATTTCTCATTTTTTCATTGCTGACATTCATAGTTACATGTTATTTGGTTCATTGGTGGCAAAATGGCTGATCTAGTCTAAAATTAATTTTGCCTCCTACTTAAAAATCATGCTGTGCTTGCCATTTTTTATGTAAACGTGCAGAATTTCATGAATTTAAAAGGCATTGTCTTATAAAGAGAGTTAATTTCTATTCCTATGAAATTAGAGCTACCAGATAATCAGCTGTACTTTGGTTTAATAGAAACAAAGTCTTTCCCTACGATTGCTCTGTGAGCTGAGCTTAATCACAAAAAATATGTTGTTTTGTGACAGGCTCCAAATTAATGACTATGCCTTTGTTTAAAATTAGACATCAATCATTACAATTGGGTCTTAATCATCTAGGCTGATGAAAAAAATTGATTTTTAATGATTGTTTCTTCCAATAAAGGGAACATTTCTTCCCTAGCAATTTCATTTTTGGTACTGTTACTAAGGGCCAGAAAAAAAGTAATTGTAAAACATTACTGATGTATTTTGTGAAATTAAAAAAATAACTTAATTATTCACCTTATAGTTTATCTAAGTCCCTGTTTTAAAAAGTCTTCCCTGAACTTTCATATTCCCTCAGTAATGTTTTCTTATTTTAGAATTCCTATTATGCTTTTAAATCATTCTGCTTCATATTCTATTCTATTCATCTATTAGATTACTTGTTCCTTTGGAGCACAAACTCTATGGTATATATCCCACCTTTCGCCTTCTCAGACGAAAAGTTCCCACTTTACCCAGTGTGGGCAGTTTGAATTGTTGTAACATTGAGGTAAAGTGTGTGGATCAAAGTTTAGGAGCAGCTCCTGCCCTGTATATAGTAGATAAGGCAAGGACAGTAAAATTAAGTTGTCTCACATGGAAGGGAATGGAGGGGAAAGCATTGACCTGTAAACACATGTCATACATGACTACTCCTTAAAGGTTGAAGTCAGCCTCTGGTAAAAGGACCATTCCCATGTAGTGTTGAAGAGGTTTTTTGTTTTTGTTTTTTAATCTTAATACATCATTTCTTATTGTTCTAGTGACTGATTTATCCAACCTGTTGTTTGTAGTTATGGTAATTTAGACTTTATAAAAATAGGATCAGGAGTTTCCCTGTTTGAAATAGTATGACAGAAGCTTTTTGTGGACTTGTTCCTGTGGATTCACCTCTATATCATGCTTTTTCTTTGCTTTATTGAAAGCATACCCACTCTGTACTGTTTCTTTGTTCAATGTTGTGAGGTTTTTTATAGAGACTGATTTGGTGACTTGGAAAGCCTCATATATGTTGTGACCAAGCCCTCTGTCCAGTGTACCTTTTCAGTTATTGACTGTGTATGAGCTGTTCATTCTCAAAATGGTAGTACATTCAACCTCTCCCTCAAATTGTTATCTCTTGGCTAGACAAATGAAATCATTACACTTAGGGCTAAATCTGTTTACATTTGTGCCCTTCCCTACAATATTTTTTCTCTAGTTCTATCTTTAATTTTCTTCCACATTGCTTAGAGTACCTGAGAATTGACCAGTGTTCCCAGCAGTGTGTACCGTGACTGACACACACTGGTATTCTACAAATACCAGCTACTGCTGATGGTAATGCTGATGGTGTTGGTGTGGGTGAGTATTTTGAAAGGACAAAAGTGGGAGGGGAACAGGGGTAGTAGGAGAGCGTGAGTCAGGGAGAAATAGCTACTGGGACAGATGGATTCTAATTCATGTTAGTTGTCCTTATTCTCCTGCCTCTGTGTTTTAAAAGGCACCAGTAGTGCCACATAATCATATCCCAGCAGTGCCCAGACTGTTGTGGCCATAAAACCACCCAGGCCGCTTACTCCCTACCTCATCCCATGTGGCTGTCTGAGGACAGATGCTCCCTCTGTTCTTTTCAGCTCCAGACTCAGGTGGTGGGGGTGGGGAATGAGATAAAGGATCTTGAAGTAAAATTAGGCTGTAGATTTAATTTTAAAGTCCCTGAGCATCTGCCAGACTTAATTTAATTCTCACAAGCACTATTAGATACATACACCAGAAGCGTGAGGAAACAGTGATGCAACCCTGTCCCATCCTCTTCTTAATGTCATTGTCCCTTGGGTGTGCCACGTTTAGGTCAGATTTGAATCCCAGGAAAGGCTTCATCTTCTTTCCCAGCCTACTGATTTTTTGTAATTTTTTAAATTTTTTTATATTTTTTACATCATTTTTCATTTTTGCACAATGTATGCATTTTCATCTTGGTTGTACTCCCCATACAATTCCTACCACCCTTGTTTTGATCCTACTCCTTTCTCCCCTCCTTCTCCCATAATGTGTCTCTTGTTTGTAGTTATAATTAGTCTTTTTCCTGGTCTCGTAAATGCCCCAAAATAGATGACTGGTCAAGAAGATGTGGTACATATACACAATGGAATATTACTCAGCAATCAAAAAAGATAAACCCGTGCAATTTTCAGCAACATGGATGGAGCTGGAAGGGATCATGCTCAGTGAAATAAGCCAGAAAGAAAAAGAAAAATACTGGATGGTCTCACTCATAGCAGGAATTTAGAAAACCTACTGATTTTTTTTTAAAGCAAATTTTCCTAATGTCTTATCTGCTCTGTTCGGAAGCAAGCAAGCAAGCCAACAAAACATTGTTTTTATTGTTGTTTGTTTATACTATTGGAAGGATGAAAGGAAGAACCTAGTCTAGATGTGTAGCAAGTAATGTTTTGCATTTCTTTTTGATTCCAGCATGATTGTAGCATTCTATGAACTGTGTTCATAGATAGCATTTTAATATTGTCAGTTACAAATGGGGAATGATAATTTGCATGTAATATGTATGTCATTGAGCGAAAGAGTCTAGTAAGTAATGATGTAGTTGGAGGGTCTTTGAAGTATAGATTTTGTTATCCTCTTGACTTTACCATCAAAATGTTATTTCAAAATTGAGTAATTAAGTTAATGACAGCTGAAAATGTTTTACAAGTTAAGGTATCTTTGGTTTAATTTTCTGTCACTCATGTAGGTAAGAGGTTTGTTTTTAAATAATAAAAAAGAAAAGGGAGAAGAAAGTAAAAAGTTGAAAGAGAAATAGGATCGTGCAATTTACAAGCAAACATATTCCTTTCTGTAGTTCTTCCCTGAGAGTTGAGGAAACAGGGTATGAAAAAAGAGTCATTCATTTTCTATCCATCCCACTGTGGTAGTATCATTATAACTGGTGCCAGAAAAATAAAAAATAAAAAAACAGATAATTTACTACCTTACTGACTAGATTCTCTTTTGTTTGTTAGTGTCTTGTATCCACCTAAATTCTTCTCAGTAGAAAATAAAGCTAAATATTGGACTCTGAATACTAATGAGAATATAATCTTTGTTGTATTTTAATCACCTTTTACTTCAATTTTGAGAAAAATTATGCATAGTTTTAAAATCCTTGAATTATATGTCTTCAGGTTTATGTTCATTTTTATGATCTTGGTAAGTAATTATTCAGAGGCCTTATGGAAAAAGAAAAATTGGGACTCCCTTTTGGATATCAGTGTCTTCTAGATCCAGGTAGCCACTGTCGATTGTTGGAATGCATGCTGGTGCAGGGGGTTTCTGTCTGGGCACTGGGAAAGAGGGTGATGGTGCTAAAGTCAGGTTTGTTAGTGTTCTGTCCAATTTTTTCCTTGTGGCAGCGACCCTTCTTACATGGAAGAATTCAGGTAATCAAGTTGGAAAAGTATTATCTGAAAATTATTGCTATAGTGTCTATTGATTTTGTAAGACTATTAGTCCTTAACTTAAGCAAGGATGCCATAGATTTGTGTTTCTGTTCATGATATTTTTATCCCATTTTTTGATTGTGTGATCTTATGTTTGTTTTAGGGTTAGCAGTTTCCCTACAACTATTACATGGGGACATTGAACAAATCAGAAGAGAATATTCATCAGTATTTTCTCATGGAGTTTCCATAACAAGGAAGTTGGGTTTTTCTAACATTATTATGCCGGGTAAGTGACTTTAATGAATCAAATGATGAAATTTGGATGTTTGTTTTGTTGTCAACACTTGAGAAATTTTTCAGATTGTCAGCTTTGAAGAATTCAAATGTGCCAAATGAGATAGTGTTAGAAAGCAAAAGTTTTTTTAAAAATATCTTTACATTTTGATTATATTTGGGTAGGTAACTTATGGAAGCCAGGGCTCCGTGTCATTGTGACCATGATAAAAAGAAAAACAGAGGTGGTTTCTAGAAAATATTGCACTCCCTAGTGGAAAATGTAGTGTAAAGTCTCTTAGAGAAGATCCTTACACATTTTTGATAAAAACAGTTTTGAGCAATAGATGACCTTTCATGGAGGATTTTTTCACCAAGATATGTATTTTTCTGTATAAAAAACCATATGTGTACACCATACGTATTTCTATACCACTCCTAGTTCTATTTTTGTGTACAATCCAGATCTATATTAGCTACTAACAAATGCTCCAAAAAAGTTTTGTTTCTAAGTGAACAAAGTAGGGGTTAAAGAAATTGACAGTGCAAAGTAATAGTATTTCTCAGGGTGTCACATTGCACTCTCTACAACCAAGAGAAAAACAAAAACAAAAGACCAAATGACATGACCTCGAATGTTGACAGTGTTTTTAGAAATAAGGTCCTCAAAGTCACTGTTTCAATCCCGTGTGTAAATGCAAGCTGAGCGTTAAATCTGACAAGGCCCCCAGTGCAGCTCTGAGACTGGATGTCAGGGTTGCTGTGAATAATGACCTGATGTGATGCAAAAACAGACTAAGATTGCCCATTGCCGTGCTTTGTGATTTCCTGATGGAAATTTTTCCATGCAGGGCAGGCTAAGAGAACAGCCTTGAAGTTCCTAAAATGACCTGACCTAGCTTTGGGACCCAGTCTGCCTGAGCATCTCATGCTTCTGTTGTCAAAAATGACTGTTTATATGACTGTTTACTTGGTGGCATGTTATTCAGTGGCTCTTGCAACCATTCATTATTTCCTTCAGTTGCTATAAATAACTGGTGTTTCCTCTTTAACAAAAAAGAAAAAGTTTCATCCCACTGGGAAGAAAATTGATGGGCAAATGTAATATGAAAAACATATTTTAGAACAGAATGCAGACAGCTGCTAGAAGAATTCCTCAGCTTGGTCTCTGGGCAGTATCACTGAGAAATGGAAAAACATAAAGCAACATGGCACTTCCCTGACTGAATGATTGTCTGGGATGTGTTGTGCTCATGTGGCTTTTGTCTGATTTTAATGATGGAGATGAACTTTCTGTGCAATAAGGCTGGCTTCTACCCCCTTCCTGCACCGTGTTTAATGACATGTTTCACTCTATCCAGGGAATCCATCCTCTCAGACGCCAGTCTACAGTGCAGGGGACTGAAAGAGATTTTTTTAAAGTTCTTCTTTTTTCTTTTCTCCTTTTTCTTCTATGGCTTTTGAATCTTCCAAATTGAGAAGGGAGAGACAAGTGTATTAATCAGTTGAAAGCAACTTTAAAACTCCATGGAATTTTTGACATTGGCAAACATACGATCATTGTTGTTTTTCTTTGTTATTTTCAGAATTTTGACTTGTCAGTTAATTCTCACTGTTGGCTCTGTAAGAGCTTGAGCTGATTTCTTCCATGAGAAAATGTATGTGAATATTTCTGATGCACAGTCTGCTAGTGTGCTTTCTTTTTTTTTTTTTCCTTCTCATTGTCTAGACTTGTCCTTCAGAGTTCATTTGTGTTCTGATAGAGGTCACGGTGGGTGAAGCACGTGCTGGTACCAACAGCACCGAGTTCATCGACACAGTCACTGCCTCTGCAGAATGAATTATCTGTGGTCCTGACACTGACAGGAACATACACAAAACCCTTCATATGAGGATCTCAGATTGTAATTAATGCCAGACTCTTTTTTGGGATGGGAAATACATGGATGCAGAAATTCTCCCCTTGCTTTTGCACTTCTAGGAGCATATGTCTGTTTGTCACCTGGTATGAGACGAGCAACTGCCACGTCCTTTCCAGTACTACGCAGTGCTCTGTGCCCTTCCATGTTATTAAAGGACCATTATTTGGCATTTTATTTTTTAGGATGTTCAAATTACAAAGAAGAAAAATCACCTCCTCTGAAGCTCCATCATTATCACCCACAAACTAAATAACTGCAAAAAGTTCTTTGGCATGGTCACTGAGCCCACGATAAGGAGAGAGAAGCAAAATAAATTCCATCAGAGCTCTCCAGTGGGCATATATCGCAGGTCCCAAGTGTCGTTTTCACTTTTCTAGTAGTCATTTAAAAAAGTGGGGAAAAAAGAGGTAAATTAATTTTAACAATGTATTTTATTAACCCAATACATTCAAGATGTTATGTCAACAGTTAATCCATAATAAGGTTATTAGTGGGTTTTTTACACTCTCTATTTCAGCCTAACCCTTTAAAGGTTGTGCATTTACAGCACAGCTGTTTTTAGCCAAGTCACATTTCTGGTACTCACTTGCTACATGTGGCAGCGGTTATAGTTTTGGACAGCCCATCTGTAAATGTCTTTGCAGACTCTGTGCAAAGCAGAGTCCAGGCCATTGGTGAATACCAGGAAGCACTAAGTTTCCATCCAGCAGACAGTCTGGAGCAAAACTGACTGATGTGGCAGGAGTGTCAGGGGAGGTCATGATGCCCTGCCCCTGCCCTGAAGTCCGTTCTTACTCTGAATTCATTTTCCCTAGGCAGTGCTCTCTCTGCTTTCATCAGGGTCAACCTACTGCATCTTCCCCACTCTACCCTGTGCCCTTGCAGACTTCTCACATGTCAACTGATTAAACTGTAACTCTTGGTTAGGGAATGCCTAATGAATACCTTGGGGTGCATTCACTTTTACTAAGAGATCTTTGGAGGTCCTAATCCTAAAAGGAATCAAGTAAAAATGGTGGAATGATGGGGGAGCAAGGGGTGGAGATTTGGATGCTAGAGGCTCCATCTGAAAACAATTGGCAGAGCGTACTTCAAAGGCTGCCAGCAATTGTAGCTTTGACAAGGATCTCAACATTTCAGTTTATTTCATAAGTATCATTCAGAGTAAACCTCCTTTTTTTTTTTTTTTTTTTTTTATTTACACAAGCACTGGGTACAGTCAGAAGCGTGAGAGGGTGAGAGAATTCACCAGAGCCATAACAGAGAAAAGAACAGGCAGACTGACAAAGTACACTGCTGAAGGGAGCAGCGGGCAGCAGGATAGGTCTGTGCACCATGTGGGACCCTTGCCCAGTGGCCGGGGATCAAACCAGTGCTGCAGAGGCTACAGGCAGCTTCGCAACCCAGAGCTCAACTGATGTGCCACTGGGGAGGCCCAAACCTCCTTTTTCTTTGATCTATGTGTTTTAGTTCAGAAAGTCAGATTTCCCCTTGGCCAAAGGTGACTAGATACTGATTCATGAAGTTGGGGTGAGAGGAATGGTGGAGATGTGCTTGCCTCATGTGTTGGAAGGTGTACAGTTTTGTTCTTTCATATATAAATATTATTCTTACCACTTACTAATAGAGACATAGACATCAACAGATGGAATTGCCTAAGATAAGGACTCTTCTGGAGAAAGCAGGTTGGAACCAGCACACTACTTTCTTCCTCAGAAATACATCATGCACCTAACCCAACTTACCTCCCCCAGTCCAAGTCACTGAGCCTGCATATCACATTGGTGTAGCCACTTGGTGTAGACCCGAGTACCCTGCTCGGGCATGGAGAAGGATAATGGTTTTTCAACTAATGAGTGCCACTGTGACTAAAGAGTGATCTAGATGAGGGTTCTACCATGCCGTGATGAGTTTGAATCCCATCTCTAGATCAGACTGAGGGGAGGGCTGGAGGCTCCCAAACTGGGAAAGTTTCAGGCCCCACTGTCCAGTGGTGAAGGACTTTCTCCAGTTCTCTATACATTGCCTCAAGTGTGATGGCCAACAGAAGTCAACAGCCCATTCCTGCACCTGTCTCTATGTAACATTGTTCTGGAAAGACTGTAGTGTTTGCTGTTGCTTAAAAAAAGTAAAAAACTAGACACACCCCCCCACCAATTAATAATCTCTCCTAAAAACAAAGAAAAAGAATGTGAATGATAGAAAACAAAGAAAAAGACAGACTTTACTAAAGTGCACTCTGTGCACTTTATAGAGAAATCTGTAGCTAATTTTCAACCTATCCATAAATTTTCCCTGTCTTTGGACTGCTTGCATTTCCAATTACCTGTGAATATTCTCCCTATTTCTTTTTTTTTTAATTTTATTTTTATATTCCCCATACCATTGCAACCCCCTTATTTTGACCCCAATCCCTCCCCTCCCCGCCCCCACCCCCCATAGAGTGTCTCTGGTTCATAGTTTTTTGTTGATTTTGATTTTCACTTTCTTATAGTTATTCATTTTCCTGGTCCCTTATTTAAGTTTTCTAGATTCCTGCTATGAGTGAGACCATCCGGTATTTTTCTTTTTCTTTCTGGCTTATTTCGCTGAGCATGATCCCTTCCAGCGCCATCCATGTTGCTGCAAATTGCATGTGTTTATCTTTTATTCTCCCTATTTCTTACTCCCCTTGAACATATTATGAGGTGATAGAAATTTGGGTGCAGATGGCATATTGTATTAGTTTCCCTTTGCCACTATAACAAATAACCACGAATAGGGTGGTTTAAGCACACATGTATATTATCTTCCAGTTCGGGTTGTCAGTAGCTTGCACAGGCCTCCATGGGCTAAATCATCACCAGAGCTTCACTTTTTCTCATGGCTCAAAGAGAGAGTCCATCCTTGCCTTTCCCGGCTCCTGGTAACTGTTCGTACTCTATGACTCATGCCACCACAGCATGCCAACCCCTGCTTCCCTTAGCATACCCCTTCTTTGACTCTTCTTCCTCCCTCTTATAAGGACCTTTAAGATTATATTGGGCCCACCATACTAATCCAAGAAAATCCCCCCATTTCAAGATCCTTAACTTAATCACATCTGGAGGTC